AAACTGTGGCTGAATAAAACTCTGTACTGGTGCCCTCTAAAGGAAAGAGGAGAGTGAACAGTATAAGACCTCAGTGGTCACAAACACCAGATACATTGCTCCAAAGGAACTTGTAGAGGGGGCTAAAGAAAGGGCTAAGGGTCTGGAGGAGTCTGGAAAGCTGCCCAGTTAGACTCAAAGGGTCCAGACAGTTAAAGTCCAAAGGGTAGCCACAAAACAGTTACTGGAGAGTGGGATCATAAGTGTACTTAGTGAACTGAAGAACATCTGAGTAAAACAGAGTGATAAGCCTATAGTCTATGTGAAGGCAAAGGAAAAAGTTATATTCTACAAGGAAACAAAATATCCTATGTAAATATATCCCATTCCCCATGTTGGGCTTTCTGAGAAATAAAGAAGCTTACTGTCTGACTTTTACAAATACTGGTGCCTGATTTACTGGTGAAATAATTATATTGGGCAGTTGTCCTCCAAACATCCATAAGTTATATACCAAAAACCCCGAAGAGACGAACGTTTATAGTGACCTGGTCAGATATAGTATGGTGAGAACTGATCAGACACATCATAAGTGAAAAGCATTTTAAATCCAGCACAACCAGGGCTATTTTTGAGCACGAACGCACAGGAACGGAGTTCCAGCTGGCTTCAGAGTTGGCCACACCCACTACAGTCAAAACTTCTGTGTACCTGGCTACAGAGGGAAGGCCTGGAGAGCGACCCCCCTGACGACGCTGAGGCGGGCAGGCCAGGAGGCCCTGGAATGTCTCCCCATGCCTCCCCCGGCCTGTCCAAGGACCGGCTTGCCCGGGCGCCCCACAGCCACAAGCCAAGGGAGGGCAGTTTAAACTGCCTTCCCTTCCCTTCAAGGGGGGGCTTGCCTAGGCGCCACACAGCCACAGGGCGCCCAGGCAAGCCAAGGGAAGGCATGGGGTGTGGCCTAATATGTTAATGAGCCATGCTGTCAGGGTGTGGCGTAATATGCTAATGTGTGTCTGCTGTTGGGTGTGGTCTATTATGCTGGGCTTTTTCTACAAAAAAAGCCCAGAGCACAACAATAAATGTATACAGGCAGTGACACCACAGCTCGGTCGCCCCAACGGCCTGGGAGAGGGCGTAGGGTGTTATAGCTGTCTTCCCCATTTTCAATCTCCTTCTGACTTCTAGGGTGCAGTCTCTCTTTTGGTTGATGATGGAGCCAAGGAATAGAAAATCTTTTAACAATTCCAATTTCTTCATCGTCAATCTTAAAGTTGTGTAATTCCCCAGTAGTCATTACTTTTGTTTTCTTGATGTTCAGCTGTAATCCTAGTTTAGTACTTTCTGCTTTAACCTTCATCAGTAGCCACTTCCAAGTCATTACTGTTTTCTGCCAGTAATATGTTGTCATCTGCGTATCTCATGCTCTTAATTTTCCTTCCACTAGTTTTCACTCCACGTTCATCTAACTCTAATCCAGTTTTCATTATGATGTGTTCTACATATAGATTGAAGAGGTAGGGAAATAAAATACATTCTTGTCTGACACTTTTGCCATCTGGAAACCATTCTGGTTCTCCATATTCTGTCCTAACAGTAGCCTCATGTCCAGAGTACAGGTTGCGCATCAAAACAGATGTTGTGGTATACCCATTTGTTTTTAATCTAACCATAACTTTTCATGATCCACACAGTCACACTGTGAAATACAAGCTGATTTTCTTCTGAAATTATCTCTTATGCTCCAGTAACCAATATAAATTTGCAAAATGATCTCTAGTACCTCTTTCTTTTCTGAACCCAAGATAGCGGCTAGACGAAAAAAAATGTGTCGTAATAGGTGATTTTAACTACCCACACATTGATTGGGTCAATATGTGTTTTAGTCGGGAAAAAGAGATTGAGTTTCTAGACACTCTCAATGACTGTGCTATGGAGCAGATGGTCACGGAACCTACCAGGGGAGAGGCGATCCTGGATTTGGTCCTAAGTAACGCTCAAGACCTGGTGTAAAAGTGATTGCACCACTTGGGAATAGTGACAATAATGTTACTGAATTCAACATTTGTATAAATAGGGAATTGGCCAAAAAGACTGATACAACCACTTTTAACTTTAAAAGGGGTAACTTCTCTGATATGAGGGGACATGTGGGGAGGAAACTAAAATGAAAAGTAGAAAGGGTCAAAACCATTGGGGAAGCTTGGAAACTATTTAAAACTACAATCCTAGAAGCTCAGAAAAAATATATACCACAGGTTAGGAAAGGCACAAATAGGTATAGAAAAAAGCCTGCATGGTTAACAAAGTAATGGAAGCTGTAAAAGGTAAAAGGGATTTCTTTAAGCGGTGGAAAGCTAGTCTCAGTGGGGCTGATAAAAGGGAACACAGGCTGTGGCAAATAAAATGCAAGTCTGTGATCACGCAGGCAAAAAGGGAATATGAGGAGCATATAGCGAAAAACATAGACCAACAATAAAACTTTCTTCAAATACATTAGAAGCAGGAAACCAGCCAAGGAGACAGTCAGGGCTGGCTGGCTCTCTCACTAGGCCAGCTAGTGTCTGGCCTGGGGTGCAGCTCTGTCCAGGGCGCCACTTGCCCTGCTGCTGCCCCCCCAAAAGCC